AAAAAAAAAAAAAATCTATGTTATGTAGTTAAAATTTGAATAAAAAAAAAAACTGTGATATAGTTAATATTTGATAAGCAAATTCCCTTAGACCGGTTAAACTGGAAATACCACGAACAAACTTCTCCGAATTTTGATGACCTGCAATACGCTAGGGGAGGTCCTGACGGAAAACTTCACACGCTCAACTTAGTACATGTTCGTGAGAATAAACGGAAAAAATTATGCTTAAGTGCATAAATATGTCTTAGTTATTGCGATGGGACCTGACCACCCTTATTATACTAGAGTGTCTTGATGCCTAAGAGTCATAGCAAGGAAATAGATCCACTCGTATCCACTTTTCTAGCTTATAATCTGAAATCCTTTAGCAGATATACTTTCTATTTTTAAGGAATTTGTCCCCTCTTATTATATGGCTCTAGGGTCCCCTAGATTGTCTGAACGACCTTCTCGCCAACTTCTCATAAGTTGCAACCGGGATCGTAACCACAACCTTCACCTTTATGACCTTTGGGTCGCGAGGTTCCCCTATGTATTAGAGCTCCTTGAGGCTTTTCGACCTCCAGGCTCTCTGACTGGGTCAACATGTACCTTGAGCTGCCTAAGTGAGCTTCTTGACAAGATAGTGTATTGGGCCCAAGCTAAGCCTTCTTGAACCGAGCACAACCGAGTCAACCACCTAGGTCGGTTCATCTGAGCCGTTACGACTACTATATCATCTAAGCCCCCATTCTTGAATGAGCTACCTTGACTTGTACAATAATAATTCACTAGTACAACGCCCGTGTATTACACGGGTGCTTGCTAATTTTTTTTTCTTAAAATCTAAAATTAATGAGAAAAAATAGTTGAAATTTTAAATACCTTTTATAAAAATATATATATTATTATATATTTAGTATGACACTTTTTATTTGTGCAACTTATTGTGTTATATTATGATAATTTTTTTAACTTACAATATATAACTACATTAAACATAAATATATCAATTGAGAAATACTTTTATTTTTCTAATGAATTTTAATAAATATTATTATTTATTATTATTATTATAAAGATAAATATAATTTATTTATTTCATATATATATATACAATATGGATGTCAAATCGAAGATCATCAAAAGATGATTAATTTGATATATTATATATGTAAAACCGATAAGAAATACAAAAGTTATCAACTTTTAAAATACATTTATAATTCAATAGCTTATTGAAGGAAACAAATCAAAATTCAGGGATATATTAGTCACTTAGTGCCTCACTATGTAAAATTACAAAGAATTAAAGGGTTATATTAGTAAAAGTGATATTAAAATACCTAAATTGGCTAAATAATATTTATGGAATACCCGAACCTAGATTATTAATTATTAATATATCAATATTATTTATCCAAACCTAATTACGAAGCATGATTCTTCGCCACATAGGATTCCGAAGCACCAGAAACAGCCACGTAGGTTCAGCGCATTCTGGAATTATATATAGGGAGGATTGTAGCCAAGCTATCTTGTCAGCCACAAATGCCATGAATTGCACGTTCTGGAAAACTGCACTTTGTCAGAAACGTCATTTTGAACTCTGACACGCTCCTTTTGTTTTATGTCGTAGATCTTTCCCATATCAATGCCCGTGATCCAATGACCTTTGACATCTGTCCAATCCATCTCCCTTGGTCAATTCAGACCACCAGACAACATTCAATCCGACAGCTCTCCTCCGACCTTGGATTTTGCACTTCCCATTTTTGTTCTAAAAACTGCATAGACCCACCATCTAAATTTTACCTTTTTCTTCAATTTCCAAATTTATTCTACAAAAAATACTTGAGTGAACATAGTATTTTCTCGGCGATTATACATTCAACGTCTGGTCACTTTACCGTCCACCATTTTTCTGCGGCTTTATGGGTATGTACTTCTCCGGCAATCACCAACCCTCCTTTTAGTTTCTTCCTTCACAAACACCGACAACCATGTCAAATTCTGGTAGTGCCTCTTTTACGAACTCTTTTTTTCAACCCCTAGATGAACCTTCTAGGGACGCCTCTTTGACGTTAGCCCTTCCTTTCGCTCGCGCCGATAGCTGGACCAGGTTACAATTTTAAAAGGCAAAAAAGTCAGGCCTTGTCTAGCCTAGTGAGAGTTGTCAAACCCAACTCTATCACTACTTATTCAAACGACCATATCACCAATCTGCTCCACGAATGCGAGCTGCTCCGATCTTGGGACTTTAAGATTCTTAAAGAGAGCGAACCATTTGACCAGCCCCCCTCGAGCTACTACCCTTTCTTTCTTGACCAAATTACCTCTAGTTTAAAGTTCTCTCTTCAAGATTGTTGGGTTCTGTTAGGAACGTCAACAACATGCATGTTTGAATTTAGCTAAATAAACCCGAACGCTGCGAAATCTATAGTTAGGGTTAGGACATTACCGTTCAAAATTTTTGCCGACTATGAGACGTTTCTGATTTCCTTGAATCAGATTGTCTGAATACCAGAGTTCGATGGGCTGCCGGACTTAGCCTTTCTCCAACTTAATCGAGTCGCTGAAACAAAAACGGATCACCGGATCGGGCATGTCGGGCTCGGGCGGTTGGATCAACTTCGGTTCACTGGTTTGATTTGGTCGGACCTGGGTTAACTCGGTCAAACTCGGTGGGCTCAGCTAGGCTCACTCGGGCTCGGCTGGGCTTATCTCGGTCTGGGGTGCAGCGGGAGCGGAAGGGCGTTGGCTCGCTATTCGCGGACATGTGCGCATCAGGGTTGGCCGGGACGCGCGGGCTGGTGGACGGGCGCAGGCGGTGCGCTGCTTCCTCGAGCGCGTGCGGACGTAGTACTCCTAGGCCGACGCGGACTGAGACACGAGCGATGGCTCGGGCGCCTGCTGAAGGTGCACGACATGCATTGCCTACTTCTGCGAGACTGGACACGGCAGGCGTGCGCGGCAAGGCAGACAGGAGCGCGGACGTCGGGCGATGGTGCGCGTGAGCAGACAGGCGGTGCTGGAAGCTCGCGGGATCGTCATTGGGCGTCGCTGGGGACTGCATGTCGGTGACTGGCTGGGTGCGGCTGCAGGCTCTTGCTCGCGGCTGGGTGTTTACTGGGATCTGGCGGCGCCGGCGGTCGATGGTGGAGGGTGGTCGGAAAAAGCACAACTAAAAGGCTCAAATTAATATTATCCAAAAGTCTTCTAATGTATTACCTAAACACCTACTTCGATTAATCTTGGTGGTGCGATTAATCGAATCTCCCGAATTCTCAAATATGCTATGATGCTCAATTTTCCTCTCTTGAGAAGACCTCAAAATCGACCAAACTTGTGTAGGGGAAGAGGTTGTGACATGGTGTATTTATAGGCTACATTAAGGACCTTAAGGAGGCGGTAAATATGGGATTGTCCCATTAGGCTTAGGAATCCTAATTATGCTCCATATCCTTTCGCATCTAGAAGTCATATTCCTCCTAACCTTTATTACCTTCTAGAAGACTCCATAGTCTCCTAACCCTAGATAATATTCTCGAAGGAATATTCCTCTCCTAATAGAATCTAAAATATGGAATATAATTAATTGATAATTTCCTAAACAGAATTAAATAATAAAAACATCCCACTAGAGTAATATTATTGCTCCCCCCATTTAACTCCAATTTATTCAATAATATCGAACCTCCAAATGATTAATAAATATTAATCTAATTGATCGATTTATCTCCATATGTTTAAGATATAACGTCCGTCAGTTAATTTAATTACTGATAATTAATTTAAATTGACTTTTTTTCATTTCAGAAATTAATACCACTCAGTTCATTAATCATTATGTCGAATAATTATCCACCTGCAGAGTTTGACATAATATTCCTTCCTGAGCTCATTTCGGGGACGTCAGCAACCCAACACACTGGGACATAGTGACTGTAAATAATTTATAACGGCACATAATATAAACTGTAACACCCCGCCTTATCGTGAAATCAGAGTGCGAAAATTTCGCAAAGTTATTAAAAATAAAATCTTTTTACTTTGCGAAAACTGATTCGGGGTGCTACCGTAAAACGTGACTTAGTTTGAAAAACCATTATTTTAATTTTTAACAAAATCATACGGTTTACTGAAAACATAAATTTTTCCAAAAGTCTGTTCAACATATAAGTTCATCAACGTCAAAGTCAGCGGAAGCGTAATATCGTCAAAATATATACAATCATATCATATAAGTCCTGAAGCCTCCGTCATCTCACGCTCCCGGCACGACATCCTGACCTGAAAAACATGATAAAAGTGGGTCGT